GGGATTTGATTTAGGTCATACCTGAATGGTCTAGTGGTTTTCCCTACTTTCTTCAGTTTAAGTCTGAATTTGGCAATAAGGAGTTGATGATCTGAGCCACAGTCAGCTCCCGGTCTTGTTTTTGCTGACTGTATAGAGCTTCTCCATCTGTGGCTGCAAAGAATATAACCAATCTGATTTCGGGGTTGACCATCTGGTGATGTCCACGTGCAGAGTCTGCTCTTGTGCTGTTGGATGGAAGAGGGTGTTTGCTATGACCAGTGCGTTCTCTACTGTCTCATAAATCAAGCTGCCATTTGTCTGAGGATGTATTTCTGGGGTTTCTCTTTTCTTCAGGTAATCTATTTTTCTAATACTGCCCCAATACCAAACTGTCTGAATTACAGATTTCTAAGAAATTTCCACTTTTCTTTCTCTCTTCTGAAACTGATTCGTATTTGATAAACTGATTAACTCTTCACCTACACAGACAAATGCTTAAACTGAATTTTTTGTCCCTGTGGAAAGTATGTCATAGTTTCTACCCCCTACAGCTCTCTCTTATTCTAAGGTCATCAGCCGCACCCCAGTCTTAGAAGCAATACTGAAAAGGCATATCACTAGTCACAAGAAGGGCTGGGAAACGGCGGTATTAAGGAAGAAAAATCCACTATCACTGCGAGAAAAATGTCCCAAGCATGTGGTGTGATGGTGAAGTAGGTTTGTTGTTATTGTTTTTAATTACACAAAGAAAAATCCACTCTAATGCATTTCTTTGACAGACATTGTACATCTGTATAGTATGTGTATCTGTTTATGTAGCATAAGCATATGAGGATATTAAAACATCTAAGTTGGCATTTGCAAAATATGACCCTACATCTTTTAAAAACTTCATCTTAAACAGAAACTACTACAAGAATATTTTGGGAATACAGGGGACTTGGAAAGAAGAGAACAGAGAAAGTTACCTGGAAGTGAGGCTCTTTGAGTATACCAACCAGTTCTGCCACATCTTCATCCACATTTACTAGAGGGCTGATATCTTCGAGAATTTCATTGACTAATTCCAAGTTATTATCACTGACAGCTTCTAGTTTTGAATCTTCCAGCCTCTCATGAGCCTAAAAAAATACCAGTATATTAAAGTAATAACACACACTGCTTTGCTCAGACTGTGGTTTTCTTCTTGAAAACTTTTGAAAGTTTTAAAAGATATTACTTGATGGTTTGATCTACTGAAATCAAATCTTTCAATCAGAGGTAATATACAGATTTCACAGTAAATGTTATCATGCAGTATGATAAACCTTGGCCTCTATTCCTACCCTAAAGATAATGGAAAACTCATTTTTATAACTAACTACGGAAAAACTGAATAGGCCAAAGATAATTTTAAAAGTTTTTTAAATGTAGTATATTTCCTACCCAACAGAATTTCCTAATGACATTCTAGTTTAGGCTCAAATGATACTGTTTATGCTTTATTTTGGAGAAGGAAATGGCAACCCACTCCAATACTCTTGCCTGGAGAATCCCATGGATAGAGAAGGCTGGCAGGCTACAGTCCATTGCAAGAGTTGGACATGATTTAGTGGCTAAATGACTAAAAACCATACTTATTTGATGATCAAGCACAATAAAAATAAGGGCATAATTATGATATGGATTATCATTTAAAAAACAATGAAAATCATTTTGAGAACCCCATAATCCTAAAGTTACAATTTTCGATTTTGAAAATTCAGCAAAAAGGACAATTCAGGAAAGGCAACTCTTGAACTTTTCCACAGAAAACGAACCATCAATTACACTGTCATGGGAAATAAATAGTTTTAAATATTCTTTAACAGTGGCAGTAAAGCAGAGTTTTAAATTCAAACTCAGAATGAACACTATAAACAGTCTGTATCTTTTAAGTGTTGTTTTTTCTGATAAACAGTTGCTGTCTGATTTTGAAGACAAGTAAAGCATAATTTACTTGGCCTCATCTTGGGGCATGTGGGATCTTGTGTCCTTGACCTGGTATTGAACCTGCACTCACTGCACTGGAAGCACAGAGTTTTAGCCATTGGACCACCAGGGAAGTTCCCTGGTGGCTCAGGGGGTAAAGAATCTGCCGACAATGCAGGAGACTCAGGTTCAATCCCTGGGTCAGGAAGATCTCCTTGAGAAGGGAAGGGCTACTCCAGGAGGAAGTGAAGTGAGTACTCCAGTACTCTTGCCTGGAGAATTTTGTGGAGAGAGGAGCCTGGTGGGCAATAGTCCATGGAGTCACAAAGAATTGGACATGACTGAGCAACTAACACCTTACAGGAAAAGCATAATTATAAAGATTTAATTTATAAATGAAACCTTGTAAGATGACAAGTTTTACACTTAAATATTAAGTTCTAGTTCTGTGAGTGAAGGAAAAAATTTCAAATTGCAAGTGGTTACAGTATTGTTTAAACATTATCTGATACCTATAATACTGTACATATTATTTCTACCATACAGAGTGGATCCTTCAGAATTCTAATACACCTTCTATTTCTTTTACTTTTAAATATTTTATTTAAAAAAATAATTTCACACATATCAATGTAAAGTTGATAATGAGCTATCTAGCGTTCTTGGTTTTTGTATCTCATCTTCTAAATCATACACCTTCTAATTTTAAAAATGCATTTTTTTCATTTAAATATATTTTCCAGATAATTCACAACAATGACATGAATGGAAGTGGAAGAGAGGGGCTATTAGCAACACTTTAAAGGAATACCTCTAACGAAGAAATTTTAAGTCATATGAAATAAACTGATAAGAAGAAATTATAATTTTTATGAAACAAAATTGTCAAAAAGACCATGTGTAATTTAAATAGAGCAATGAGTTTCTATTAGATTTAGATATGAAAAGTGTTAAGACGACTAGGGGATGCCACTAAGAGCAAGAACAGGTAAATCTATAATTTGCTTAAAGCTAACAGAAGCCTGATAAAGAGAAGATGATGAGACCATTTAATATATATCATGGAATGATTATAACCACTGAGAAAAAAATAAAATAATATACACAACTACTTAACTCTTATAAAACAAGCTGGAAATACTGTTTTTAACTTATTTATTCATTTATTTTTTGGCTGGGCTGGGTCTTATCGGTGCTGTGCACATGCTTTCTTCAGTTGCAGAGAGCGGGGCTACTCTCTAGTTGCAAGGGTTTCTCGCTGTGGTGGCCTCTCCTGTCGTGGAGCACAGGCTTCAGTATTGCAGCTTATGGGCTTCAGAGTGCAGGATCATCAGTTGTGGCACATGGGCTCAGGTGCCCTGTGGCATGTGGGATCCTCCCTGACTAGGGATCAAACTAGTGTCTCTCACACTGTAAGGTAAATCCTGAACCACTGGACCAGCAGGGAAACCCTTGCTAATTGTTTTAATATATTTGTTGTTTAAAAAAAAAAATCCAATTTAGCACGATTAACCTTGCAAATAGTCTTAATACTCTAATGATAGTATATGAAAGCTTAAAAAAAGGAAGAAAAGAACCTGAACATTTATTGAAGGTTTTTGTTTTGTGCCAGTAAATATATTCCAAGTTCAGTACCAGAGCATGCATGTGTGCAGTCAGCTAAGGTGGGCATGTTGTCATCATCCTCACCTTATAGACACAGACCCTGATAATGCAAAATGAGGTAAAGTGACTGCCTGAGTTCACACTACTGGTAGGCAACTAAGTGAGGTAGTCCAACATCATCAAACTTGAGCTCTTACCTATTAAATCTTACTCAACTTTTTGATTATACAGTAGGCTACCCTATCATCATCTTACAGTTAATTAATCTAAAATATTATACATTATTATCAATCATTTAAAAGTGTGATATATGCTCTCACTGACTGCTAGTTGAGTTGCTGCTTCTTAGCATGGCTCTTTCGTGTAGATGTGCTAAATTGTACTCCTATGGTTCAAGACGATCACCCACACTGTCAATCTCCATCCTCTTGCTCAAAGAGCTATAAGAATTACCTGTTGCTCCAGGGAACAGATGATGACTGGCTTAAAATTTTCAGGTACTAAAGCCAATATATTTTCTATAATATCCTATGTTACTTTTTGATTAAATTAAAGTATTCAGGAAAAGCAGAGGAACAGGAAAGATCATGGGCTTGGAAACTCTAATACCTTTCCCTTCCTTTCTATCTTCACTGATCTTATTGCTCCTAAGCTGTGAGAGGACAGGAGGGAATGCGGAAAGACTACCCACAAAAGAGAAGGAGGAATTCAAGCAGAAGGCAGAAGTGTGCTACAAAAACAAACACACCTGAAGGTGTCTGCACACCAACCCTACATTTGCTTCTATGGTAGGAAAAAAATGTCACTACACAACACATAAATCCTCAGAGAAAGAAAATGTTTTTAAGTGAAACTGCAGCTATAATTAATATAGAAAATCAATTTCTGAAATACAGTTGGGTTCAATTAAGATAAACTTTAGTATTTCCAAGAAAGCAACTATAGGTCAATATTTGTTAATATGTAACTTTTTAAGTTCCAGTATAATGTGAAAGAAGTTGAGACCTCAAGTCAAAATTTATTTAGTAGCTTTCAAGAGGCAAGTCAGGGAAGCCTGGTGTGCTACAGTCCATGGGGTCACAAAGAGTCGGACACAACTCAATTGACTGACTGAAAAGGCAAGTACCAACTTGAATTTAACTAATCAAGCAGGCTTCCCACGTGGCGCTAGTGGTAAGAAACCCACCTGCCAATGCAGGAGACTTAAGAAATGTGGGTTTTATCCCTGAGTCGGGAAGATCTCTGGGAGGAGGACATGGCATCTACTCCAGCATTCCTGCCTGGAGAAGCTCATGGACAGAAGGGCCTAGAGGACTATAATCCATAGGATCACAAAGGGTCAGACACTACTGAAGTGATGCAGCACACGCAAACAAACAAAACTACAAAGGAGATACTGAAAACTTACCAGAGACATAAATGAATCATATACGCTATTTGAATAAATGTGTCTTGTTTCCTTTAAGAAAAAGAATTATTAGAAATCTAACACAACTCAATAAAAATATATTTCTCCTGCCACAAGCACTTGGGAGAACATGCCATAACTGACTTTGTAGAATACTTGGAGTTGACACAAATATAGTCTAGCCCTCTTGTATGTCTAGTTCTAAGAATCCTATTCACCACTGCACCTTAGAAAAACAAACTGCAGGGAAGAAAAAGTTCTTTCAAAACTTCTGGGTATTTTGTGAAAGCACAGATCATCCATGCTGGTAAACAAAATTTTTAACAAAAGTTATGCACTGTACATAAAATGACAAATGCTATTATCTAATAACGATAATGCTATAATTATTATGTGTAGTAACCTTATCTTTCTCCCTTAAAAACAAAAATACTATATATTGTTTCTTTTTAGAACATGGCTAAATATACAGTAGTTGCTAATTAAGTACTTCTTTAAAAAGCGATTAAATAAATAGGAGATAAGACTGACTGTGGCCAACAGACATCTTTTATTCTAGAGATTTTTGAACTAAGACAAACAGCAATCCACAAATAATTAAAAAATAGGTAAAAATCTGAGCAGAAAGTAGAAATGAGACAAAAGAGAATGGAGAACTCAATTTTTACTTTGCTACTACATACATATCAAAAAAGATGAGATATGTTTTGTTGAAAAAATGCATGAAATAAGTATAACTAAATTAGAATTGAATTATTTAATGAGTAAAGAACTTATCATCTAGTGAACCAAAAAAAGCTCAAATTCTTAGATTAGATAAACTGTATCTCTAGGTACTCAGGGAGCTGAGCCACTCTTAGAGATACCTGTAGAATTAGGAGAACCAAACAGATGTCAAAAAACTAAAAATGAGAATCTTTACAAAAAATATTCACAAAATAAATCTTCACAAAAAAGGAAATTCAAATACTTCTTAAACATGTGAAAAGATACACAATCTCCTTCATAAGAGAAATGCAATTAAAACTATGCTGAAATATTTTCTTTATGAGACTGGCAAAGATAAAATTCTGGTAATATACTATGTTGTTGAGAGTACGTCAGAAGACACTTACTCACACATTTATTTTTTTCTGGTGGGAGCACACTACTGAGCAG